AACAGCAGTTTCAACATTACCAGTTGATTTATTGAGAGCATCTAGCAATATATCAAATAGACCAATGTCAGAATAGCTGACATTAATTACTACCCAATAACTTACCTTTCGGTGTAGAATGGAGTGTCAAAAATTCGTTTAATAATTTTTCAACTGCCTATACAACCATTTCTCAAAAATGTATACAGAACACTAAGATTGTAGAACACTTTATCTAAATATCCAAGATTTATGAGAAGCTGTCAACACTTGACATTAATAAAGGGCCCGGCCTTGATGGAATTCCACACATTTTATTCAAAAAATTAAATTTTGTATTATCTAGACCACTTTTTCATATCTTTAACAAATCATTGAGCACAGGTGAATATCTTGACTTTTGGAAACTCTTACGTTACCGATAGTTACAAATCTGATGCAAAGAATTATCGCCCCATTTCTATCCTAAGCACAATCCTAAAAATCTATGAAAGTATAATAATTGATTGTTTTTCATATGACTGCTCCAATATCTTAAATTCCCAACAATTTGGTTTTTCGCCAGGCAAATCTGCTAAACTGAGCTTATTAACGTATGCCAACTTTCTGTCTTGAAGTTTTGGAAAAGGGTCTACAGGTAGTTTCTATGTATATGGATTTTGACAAGGTGAACTATGATCCTCTCGTTCATAAGCTTAATTTACATGGTATAGATGGGATGGTTCCACAGTGGCTAAGTAGTTATCTAACGAATAGAACCCAACAGGTCCGAGTAAAGCATCATTAATCTCAAATTTTCCCAGTAATCTCGGGTGTTCCTCAAGGGTCCCATTTAGAACCGCTACTATTCAACCGGTTCATAAATGATATCCCAACTTACTTTCCTGGCACTAAAGCTCTATTGTTCGTAGATGACTTAAAGTGCTTCAAGATCATTAATGATTATGACAATCAGATTTTGCAATCGGACTTAAATAAACTAGCAAGGTGGTGCTCTAGTAATGGCATGGATTTAAATACTTACAAATATCACACTATCTGATTGTCGCAGCCATAATTTAATAATGTATAATTATAGTTTATTTCATCATGTTTTGGACCCGATCAAATCAACGATCTTAGGGACCTTTGACTCTTTCATTAGCTTTAATGGCCATATCTCACTGCTACAGTTCAAAAATCAATGAAAATACTAGGCTTTGTCAAGAGGACAACTAGTGATTTAAATAAATAAATTTAAATATTAATTGAGCTCATTTAAATTAGACTGCCAAAAATCAGTGTGATAAATTTATTGTATTTTCAATAATTAATTTGAATACTTTTTCAATTGATTTTCGGAATATAAATGGTATCACAACTTAGATTATACTTTCAACTATTCTCAACTAATTTTAGAACACACAAAATCATTTACTTTTTAAACTAATTGGAACGGCCAGGGTCGATGTTTTTAAACGCATTTTGTTAGTGCCAATTTTACCGTAAACCCAGCCTTAATGTTTTTTAAAATATAATTCTGCTGTTACTCCCACTCGAGTATGCTCGAATTTTTTTTATCAAAATTTACTCTTGTTTCCTAATTACCCAGTTACATTCAGAAATTAAGCCACTCTTGCTCTATAAATAATTACAACAGTATACCTATGTTTGATAATCCTCATGAACGCTGGCAGTTTTAATCCTTTTACCGTACTTCAGGTAATTTCAAGATTCTTGGAAACAAATGTTTTTATTAGTTGCCTTCAAAGCGCCTCGGATTTTAATAAAGAAACTTTAGTTTTACTGGAATCTCATAACGCAAAACTAATACCTAAAAGAAGACATCGCGGTTTGTGCGGAGGATAACGTAAACAATAATAAAGTAGTGCTTGTACGAGCGGCTCATAGGCGTCGCTACAAATGTAAGTGCAAACTTCAGGATATTCTGAGAGCGGATCCTAATAGCACATCTCTCTCAGAAAACCAATCAACGAAGAAATGGTAAAAAGTTGGGAAAATATTTGCAAGACGGTTTGGAGAATGGCAAATTATCAAAGTTTCTTTGCGAAATGAAAATCTGGAATACTTCCACTTGGGTCCCCCACCTTAAACTCCGAACCAAAAAGTTTAGTGACTAGTCACGTCATCAAATAAAACCGACAGCTATTTATATATGCTGCAAGACCAACTTGAAAAGTGATGGGAAGTTTAGCTAAACCTCTGTAAGCTAGGCTTGGAGGGAACAGAAATAGACGCATCAAAACAAATGTAACAAAAGTATATCAGACATCTACCATACAATATACGCATCGTAGGCATTTTATATATCCGTCTTTAAACACAAATGTGAAAAATATGATAGAAAAAGCAGATATCGATAATTTTTTCATTTTGGAAAGAATCTTGTAGAGATATGGAAGTCAGACAAAGCATTTGAAAAAACTAGCATACATTTAATTTAAAGGCACCAACTAAAAGCAAATAATAATTTCAATCAGTCTTTAAACTTCAGGCGCCTACTTTTAAATAGCGACTGAAGAAAACCAGACCAGAGAAAGAGCAGGAGAAATACAAAATCCAAAGGATGAACTAATAAGTATTCAGAAAAATATAGAGGGGAGGAGTTATTAGGGAAAGAAATAAAGGTAAGAGAGATTGCTGGTAGACTGAATAAATTTGTAAAACATGTGAGCTAACTTAACTAATGATAAGAAGGTCCTAAGATATGTTAAAGGTTTTTAATTAATCGTTAAAACACAAAAGAGCTTTCATAAAAGGATGTTTTCTCTTAGAGAAAAAACTAATCTACATAAATCAATTTAAAAAAAAAATTGTACTAAAGAATGCAACAGGTGTTTGTTTGCTAAAGAAAATTAGTTTAGTTCTTATATTTTTTAAGACCCAAATGAAATGATTCATCTAGATTCATCTTTAACAAATATATAGATTCTCGCTTTTTAAACTGGAAGATCTCAGGTCTGCCCAGAATATTTTGTTATAGGACAATGTTGTCTAAAAATAAATTAAAGAATGCCTCTTATCTCATCTCAATACATAAAAAATCAGGAAAGTACTTGGAAAATTAAAAAAAAATAATAATAATAATAATTTGAGTGTTTTACATTTGGTTTGACCGTTTGCTCCATATGTTTTTACAAACACTTTAAAATCGGTAGTGCTTTTGGAAATAATCTTAATGATTTCCTAATTACATCTAAATCTAGTGATGAATATCTCAAACATTGTAATAAAACGGTTAATTCTTTACATTCTCTATCAAAAAAAAAAAGTGTTTTTATGTAAAGTGTGCGATAACTCGATTGTTGCGAAGCTGGTGCATTTCTTGTATAAGTACTAAAATTAGAAAGACCAAGCAAAATGCATAGTGATTGTACCAAAATGGGAAACTCAACCATCCCATGCTACAAAAAAAAATAAATAAATAAATGCATTTTACGGTACATGTCAACATTAAACCTAGTAATTCACTGCAACAAACCTTCATTTAGAACTCCTTATAACCAGAGTTCTTACTGCCTAGCGCTCATTATAAATAGTCCCTAACTTTCATCATAGAAATTCTGAATAATAAAAAAAAATGTATATTAGGAAATTTCTAAAAGGGTCATCCTGTCTTGCCAAAATGTATTCAAACTTGAGACCAAAACACAATTTTAAAATACTTAGTAAATAGTGAAACAAATTAAAGTCAATAAGTATTATTCAGTAAGCGTGGATTCTACGCCAGATATAACCCACCATGACCAGCTTACAATTATATTACGATTTTGTGATAGTAATGGATTACCAGTTGAGCATTTTATTAGCTATACCACTGTACCACTATTAAGAATTTTCGCAGAGAAAAAGTTGGGCGTCTCGTCTCACGAAGATTCAGCCTGTTAGTAATCAGTAATAAGAAGGGGTGGTGGACTGTGGACTATGTTTGATTATGTGTTTTCCGTTATTTGTCTATTTGTTATTTTTATAGTTTATTTTTATTTAGTTTCAACAGTTCCTAAATCTATTAAACATAACATGTCAATATTTTAGAAAATGGGCATTAGCAATATTATTTTTCGTTATTTGTTTATTTATTATTTTTATAGTTTATTTTTACTTAGTTTCAATAGTTTCTTAATGTATTAGTGATAGTACTTATTGAGATAATATTGTAGAAAACAACTTATGTTTTAGACTGGTATTTTGTTTTCATTCCATTTTTCTTTGATCTCATTTTTGTAATTTTTGTTTGTTTTATTTTATTATTTTTATTTGCCTACTAGTTTTATAGCTGTTTCTGACCATTATAATAATTATGGTTTATTGATGATTGATGTTGTGACAAATTTAATAATCTAAGATGTATAAATTATTAATAGATAGGGCGGCGATTACAAGTAGCACCGGGCGCAAAACTACCTTAAACCGGCACTGGTTTAAGTGCATACTCTAGATCATAAACTTCAAATTCCGTTATTTCTAGTAATCCTTAGAATAAGCTTCTAAGCTTAAAAGCTTAAAAAATACTAAAAAATTACCTTTATTTATTATTTGAGAAATAGATAATAAATCAGCTGCAGCATAAGGTGCATACGCAAAATATTTTTAATGGTATTACTAGTTTTGTCTGTAGAATTTATTTAGTCTATAGAAATGTCACGAGAAAGCTGCAAAATGGTTTTAGCTACTGTAAAACGTAACAGAATCTAGATTAATATTAATATAATAAAAATAAATTAAAATGATGAGTAGAATATATAAAATGGCAGAATACTTAAATATAAAACGATCATTGAAGAATTAAAATTGTTCATTCATTTACTTTGAGGGCTTTTACATGGTCAATAAAACAACTATCAACAAATTATAGCCTCATGTGACAAAGACACTGTTTCTACGCATTCATTGCCCTTCTCTCCTACCTACCGCAATTTCGGATCGGATGACAAATCTCCTTGACCCGTCCCTGCGCATCAGCGCTTCAATCTGCCTCCCTTTGTGTACGCAATTTATCTGACTCCAGTTATCTGTTTCAGAGCCAGCAACGTTTCCGGTGAAAGGTCGCCATTTGACGGATCCTGCTGCGGTTCGGGATATCACACGGTCGACTCCACTCCCCTGGGATCCCCCGAGGAGGCCGAGGTTCCCAAATACAGGGTGGTGATGCTGGGCGACGCCGGTGTCGGGAAGACGGCGCTGGTGTCGCAGTTCATGACGTCCGAGTACATGAACACGTACGACGCCAGTTTGGGTGAGTTTATATATTAAGGGTGAGATTACAGAACGTCTGCAACTTTGCAGATCTGCAAATATGGCGGCAAGTTTGAAAATCTGCAAATATGAGTGACTTACACATGCAAGTATCAAGTTTTCGTATTCTAAATTTGGGTTTAGTGTTGTTGGGGGTAATAAACCACAATAAATATTGCGAATTTGCAGATATTTTTTGGAATACTTGCATTTGTAAGTCCGCCATATTTGCAGATTTGCAAAGTTGCAGATCTGCAAAGTTGCAGACGTTCTGTAATCTCACCCTAAGTAAATAGGTACGCAGACAAAAAAACTTTGGTAGTAGGTATTAAAAATTTAATATTTTAAAATCGAAGAATATCGAAAAATATCGAAAAATATCGAAAAATATCGAAAAATATCGAACAATATCGAACAATATCGAAAAATATCGAACAATATCGAACAATATCGAACAATATCGAACAATATCGAAGAAAATCGAAGAAAATCGACGAAAATCGAAGAAAATCAAAGAAAATCGAAGAAAATCGAAGAAAATCGAAGAAAATCGAAGAAAATCGAAGAAAATCGAAGAAAATCGAAGAAAATCTAAGAAAATCGAAAACAAAAATCGAAAAAATCGAAGAAAATCGAAAAAATCGAAGAAAATTGAATAAAATCGAAGAAAAACGTAGAAAATCAAAGAAAATAGAAGAAAATCGAAGAAAATATAAGAAAATCGAAGAAAATCGTAAAAAATCGTGGAAAATCTAATAAAATCCGAGAAAATAGAAGAAAATAAAAAAAAATAGAGGAAACCTGAAGAAAATCGAACAAAATTAAAGAAAACCAAGGAAAAATCGAGGAAAATCGAATAAAACCGAATATAATTAAGTAAAATCGAATAGAAGCGAAAAAAATCGAATAAAATTGAATAAAATCGTATAATATCGTATAATATCGTATAAAATCGTATAAAATCGTATAAAATCGTATAAAATCGTATAAAATCGTATAAAATCGTATAAAATCGTATAAAATCGTATAAAATCGTATAAAATCGTATAAAATCGTATGAAATCGTATAAAATCGTATAAAATCGTATAAAATCGTATAAAATCGTATAAAATCGTATAAAATCGAATAAAATCCAGTTGTATGAAATAGTATAAAATTTTAGAAAATCTAAAAACTCTAAGAAATCTAATAAAATCGAAGAAAATTTAATAAAATCGAAGAAAATCGAAGAAAATCGAAAAAATCAAAGAAAATCGAAGAAAATCGAAGAAAATCGAAGAAAATCGAAGAAAATCGAAGAAAATCGAAGAAAATCGAAGAAAATCGAAGAAAATCGAAGAAAATCGAAGAAAATCGAAGAAAATCGAAGAAAATTGAAGAAAATCAAAGAAAATCAAAGAAAATCGAAGAAAATCGAAAAAAATCAAAGAAAATCAAAGAAAATCGAAGAAAATCTAAGAAAAACGTAGAAAATCAAAGAAAATAGAAGAAAATAAAAGAAAATCGAAGAAAATCGTAAAAAATCGTGGAAAATCTAAGAAAATCCGAGAAAATAGAAGAAAATAAAAAAAAATAGAGGAAACCTGAAGAAAATCGATTAAAATTATAGAAAACCAAGGAAAAATCGAGGAAAATCGAATAAAATTAAGTAAAATCGAATAGAAGCGAAAAAAATCGAATAAAACCGAATAAAATTAAGTAAAATCGAATAGAAGCGAAAAAAATCGAATAGAAGCGAAAAAAATCGAATAAAATTGAATAAAACCGTATAATATCGTATAAAATCGTATAAAATCGTATAAAATCGTATAAAATCGAGTTGTATGAAATAGTATAAAATCTTAGAAAATCTAAAAACTCTAAGAAATCTAATAAAATCGAAGGAAATCTAATAAAATCGAAGAAAATTGAAGAAAATCGAATAAAATCGAAGAAAATCGAAGAAAATCGAAGAAAATCAAATAAAATCGAAGAAAATCGAATAAAATCGAATAAAATCGAAGAAATTCAAAGAAAATCAAAGAAAATCTAATAAAATCAAATAAAATCGAAGAAAATCGAAGAAAATCGAAGAAAATTGAAGAAAATCGAAGAAAATAGAAGAAAATAGAAGAAAATAGAAGAAAATAGAAGAAAATAGAAGAAAATAGAAGAAAATAGAAGAAAATAGAAGAAAATAGAAGAAAATAGAAGAAAATAGAAGAAAATAGAAGAAAATAGAAGAAAATAGAAGAAAATAGAAGAAAATAGAAGAAAATGGAAGAAAATCGAATACAACAATTAAAGACTGTTAAAGAAAATCCAAAATCGAAGCTTTCTTCAAACTTGTTATAATACATATGTAATATATTTGAATTTGAAAACTTAAGTACATTAGATCATCAATATCGCATCTCTGACCCTATATAACACCTCACCCCGTATTTTATCACGATAAACACCTTTTATTCTCGATTCTCTGTATAATAATACTACAAGCGAAGTGCATGGAACCGAAATGCAAATTCTGGAGCGCAGAGCGGAAGTGTAAGGTGAGGTCATTAATTATACAATTACTTGACAATTTTCCCACTGAGGAATCAGATGCAGCAGCTTCTCCTGGCGCCGTTGACGTATAAACTCTAATCCACTCGAGTGATAATGAACTCCCAGTGCAGCCTTTATTAATTGCCGACCGTATATAACCTTAAACGGATCAAATTTGCTTTATCTATTTCGGGAATGTTGATGTTTTAGCAAATATTGCTCCAAAATTAATAATTATTTATTGTATAACAAAGATCAAGAGATATTTCGTTGCCTGCGATTACATCAGTTATCATTTAAATTTTTTAAGAAGATAGGGAGGTTTTACTGTCATAAGCAGGATCCCAAAAACATTCACTCCTATCAGTCCTCGGTAAACTCCTTGAAATTTTGCTGAAGGAGATAATTTGGGACTTTAACGAGGAGAGAAACATATTTTCTTAATCACAACATGTTTCAGACCTTATCACTCCACTCAGGTCGTAATTGCCTTCTCCAATACGGCAGTTAACTCCCTCCAATTTTCTTCAACCCAAGTTTGGCAGGCCTGAGTTAGTAAAAAAACTTACTTATGATCATAGGCCTACCCATCAATATTTCTAAACTGACCCACTCGTGCCTATTGACAGCACCATCATAGAAAAAGTAGGTAACGGCCTGTCAGAGTCAGACTCTAATTGTTGGAAAACCACAGGGAGCCGTTCTGGTCCCTCTTCTATACCGTATCTATATTCAGAACTTTTCACTTCCAAACTATCAGTCTTAAAATGTCTACTTTCGAATGTAAGACAGAGGGGGATGACTTTAACCTTTGTTCATTGGTTTTAGAGAGATTTAAACATATTTTTTATATTTGTTCCAGATGACGAATTTGGTGAAAGAACTGTCTCGATTCTACTAGACGGCGAAGAATCAGAAATGATATTTATTGACCATCCTTCTTCAGAAATGTCGGTAAGTTCACAAATAAGTAATGTGTCAAACGAAGTGAGGCAACAGAGGAGGTAATTTTTCATCAAAAAACTGTGATGTGAAAGGGTTGTCTTAATAAAATTAACTTCCAAACGAAGTGTCACACTTAATTCCCTCACTGTATATTTGAAATGACGACATTCCTTGTAAAATAAATTCTATAAAAACTGTTGATGATAAGGCAGTCTCTACTCTCAATACTATTGAATTTTCAATGCATAAAATATTGGTTTAAATAAATGTTGATTTTCGTGATTTAAATTAACTTTCAGAAATAAATAATTTCTCCTTCGAAAAGTGAATACCTGCCTGCATTGAATGTTCATAAAATCGATTTTAGATTATTTAAAAGCCTTTTGGACCCGAATACTCTGTAATTCGGTAATGGAAGTGTTGATGAACTTTTGCCATTAAATTCGGCCTTTCTCTCTCTCTCAGTTTGGCGATATGGTGCTGAGACTATGGACTATAGACTATAGAGTACAGACATTTATCCATTATCTGCTTAATTAAAGATAATGTTAAACTGACGGAAAATCGATAACGGCCAGGCATTATACAAACCAATTCGATCATTTACCTGTAGATTTCGGTATTAATTCCATCACCACCGAAATAAAATTGCTAATATGATGGCTATTCAATATGTGATTGATATAAATCGTATAGAGCATAGCAACTATAAATCAGAGATAATTCGGTGTCACGTACTAATAAAATAATAATTCTTAGAATCACGTTTGATTTGTCATTTTCAGACAAGAGCGTTCCTAATTTAGCCGATTTTTTAGATATGTCAAACTAAAATTGTATTTATTGGGTTTCTCTTCATAAGTTTTTCTAAATTGTCGAAAAACTTCTTAACATTAATCTTGTTGAAGGCTGTAGCTCTTGCCAGACTACATGGTTCTGGCTTTCGTCTTACGAAAAGATTTAAGCCTATCTATCCCTGCCAATTTATTTGTTTGCCATGAATTTGGCATGTTTACATTCTTGATTTTAGCCATCTTATATCGTCGCAAAAGCAAAGCCAGTGCCTCTGGATACTTGGCGAATACTAGCACCATTTATAATAAGATTTCGTTCCATATCTTCTTTACAGTATCTGCCAATTTTTCTTTCGAGCAGCTGTTTACGAGGCATACTGAAACAACAAACAGCATTGTAAGTTTAAAAATTGTGATTCACAGTAGTAGGTACACAGTGAATCGTGATTCACTGTTTACTTAAGACCGTTGGTTCACTTTGTACCCCTTTGACTCGAAGTAAAAAAATTAATTATAAGGTACTTTCCCTAACACCTTTAAGATGAAAAATTATACAGTTATGTAGCTTACTAATACTACTTTGTCACAGCAATATAATAAATAATATATATTTGAAACTATAGCTATCAAACTAACGAAAAAACTAATTGAAATAAAATTTTCGCCACCTAAATCCGGTTTTCACCAAAAACACGTGTGCACTGCTTGCCTGTTTACTGAATACTGAGAGAAGCAAAAGAGTATTAAACATCATAAAACATATTAAGCGATAGAAAAGAACTACAAGCATAGCTTATACAATACAGCTCCACAACTCCGTGTCGGCGTCTTTGATCTTGCGGTCGAGAACCAAGCAAGACGGAATGGTGCTATCTCTGTTAGATTCGAGGGAAAAGTCGGGCCCGGATTAAACAATTTTTTAATTATTGAAAAAATTGAAAACATTGGCATAATAAGGTTGGTTACATGCCATATTAAGTAAGTTTTGGGATATTAAATTTTTAATTTGTTTTAAATCTGTCAAATATAATTAAAAAAATTATTTAAATATAAATATTACGAAAAATAGCACATCTTTCGGATTAGAGGTAAAATAATTTGTATGTGGCTAGTAAAATCCTCGTTAACAAATGTTTTGACCTAAAACAGTCACTTCACGACAAATTGTGTCTTGGATCCTTTTTACACCAAGGGCTTCAATTGTTAAAGAATTTTGTCACGCTCGTGGATGCAAATAAAGTGGTACCCCGTGTGTCTGGCAAGTGTTACTCTTCGCGCAAAGGGTTTATACCTAGATAAACGAAGCTTCGACTAGGGTCTGGGAACTCTATGGTATTTTGGAATTATAAAGAATTTGTGCTTTTTTTTAACAATATTGGTTATATTTATATGTATTCTTATTAATTGAAATACAGATATGTAGAAGTAATACTTTGACAGTTTTTATTAATATTATATATTCAATTTTTATCTGACCATACCGAAGTAGGGAATTTTGTAACTTTATAATAATGTGAAATTTGAATTAAAATATTATACGAAATTACATAATTTGTAGGTACTTATTTTAGGTAGGTACTAAATTTGTACTTGGAGAAAGTAATATCGATTTTTACAAGAAAACTTGAAAAGTAAATTAATTTAGTTCCTATTTCTGATGTAAAACTTAAACCAAGAAAACAAATAAATAGTAGTTTGTTCAACAAGGGTGGGATATGATAGCCATATCACACAAAGACGAAGTTTGAGCACGACGTCGTAGGTGGAGTACTCATTCGTCTGATTGTGATATGAACAATCCACTCGATATGGTCAGTATATTTTTTCTACGAACCATTAACGAAAATCTACAAATTTAAAAAATTATTTTAGGTTATTTAGACAAAATAACTAATATTAAAATAATTTACGAAGTTGACTAATTTATAAAATAAAATAAACATGAAAAATTAATTAGTCCTCGGCCTAGATTCGATCCCGGGCTTTTCGCGTGGAAGGCAGATGCTCTGTCCTCATCTTCACCGAAACTTTCAGGACTTTTGTTTTAATACTCGTAATTAAATTAGTATCATGTAGTTTGATTAAAATTTATTTTTTTTTAAATGTTGGACAATAAAAACAAAAATGCTATTATTTATCGAGTCTACACAAAAATTTTAATGTATATTTAATATCAATAACTAAAATATATATTGACAATTAGTTTAACAGAATTGTCACTTATTTAAAAAAATTTAAATAATAGGAGTTGGGTGACCAAAATATGAACTGTGATTTGTAGATTTAATTTTGTTAAATTGTTCTCACTACCTAAAATGGATATGAAATATATTCGTAGTTGAACGCAATAGCATACTTTTTCATTTTGTAGTATGTGCGTAGATTGGCTAATATCCATGCACAGATTACAAAACGAAAAAGTATGCTATTGCCTTCAATTGAACGAATATATTTCATATCCATTCTAGGTAGTGAGAACACTGCAAAAAAAAATTCGCCAATCGCCGTTCATATTTTGATCGACCGACTGCTATTATTTTTAAAATTTTAAATAAATGACAATTCTGTCAAACTAATTGTCAGTATATTTTTTAGTTATTGAGATTAAACATACATTAAAATGGGTTATTATTTTGGAAAACGTTAGCATGGATGACTAAAGGGTATTGGGTTAATTAATTCTAAAAGTGTGGTACAAATGTTATTTTTTGTAGCCAATTCTTCAAAATTATTAGGAAATATCTTTTCAATATTGAATATTAGTTCTACAAATTCATCATTTCACAGTTGCAGATTTCCAAATGTATCTGAATTGGCGTTATCATATGCCTTTAAAAAGCAATAAAAAGAAAAATCATCTAATTCAACGTGATCTTTGTTATATTTAGGACAGGTATCACAGGAGTGCATCCGCAAGGCTTTTATTAAAAGGTAACCACATACATACCTGATAAAATTTTTCTGTAGCAACTCGTCTTTACAATAATTTAGAGTGTTAATAATTTCATCATAAAATAAAATACAAGGTGTTCCATTTAAAAAAACATACATTTTAATTTGCCAGGCAAAAACGTGACACCCTGTATATCCAAAGATATTTTTAAAATATGTAGGTATTTTTCAAATCCATATAACTTTTATTTAAAACTTTTTTGCGTGTCTACAGCAAAATATTGAACAATAACGCATTAATGGGACACCCTGTATAAATTATATTTTTAACAATGAAAATTTCTTATAATGTGGTACTTATCGGTTTGGGTCCTTGGAAAAACTAAAGAATGTTTTCTTGCAGGTATAACCCTTATTAAAACAGCTTTTGACTGCACAAACAGAATTATATCTTTTTTTTCACTCATTCTACTAACAGCTAAAGAGTCACCAAAATAATAACAGTACCTTTAACTCAAACAAAATCAACGAAATTATAGGCTCCACGAAATTATACAATCAACGAAATTATACGCACGACTCAACACCTTACCTAAGTACGCTTCTGAACGCCAAAACCGTCTTTTCCCTCCGAAGGCGGAGCTTAAGCGATGCGCGACGAAATCGACGCAAACCGTTGCCGCCAAGAGAGTGTTTTAGCTGTATTGTATAAGCTGTGCTACAAGTCTGCCGGCTCACTGTAGCCACCTGATTCACTGTTCCCACCATGACCCTACATCCGATGTCTCGGCATATTTTTTAAAATTAAAATTATTTGACATTTCCTTTCTTCTAGGTTGAAAATTCCTTAAGCACGTACGAACCTCATGCATGCATAATGGTCTACTCGGTGGTCTCTAGATCCAGTTTTCAAGCCGCAGAAGAAACCCTCAACTATCTATGGCGGGAGGGTTATACACAAGAAAAGAGCGTCATAGTAGTGGGAAATAAGGCTGACTTAGCAAGAGCTCGAGTGATAAGTCCAAATGGTGAGTAATCAAATTATTTCCGCGATAAAACGTACAAACATTTTCTTCGCATTTTTCCGCAGAGGGCAAAGCTCTGGCCGTAGCGAGAGACTGCAAGTTCATAGAGACATCTAGCGGCATCCAGCACAACGTCGACGAACTTCTAGTGGGCATTTTGAAACAAATCCGTTTGCGGGAGTCACGCGACAAGAAAAAATCCACCTTAAAAAAGGACAACAATAAATTGCACAGTTCGAAGACCAGTTTGAGTTTGAATATAGCCAGGGAAATTTTGCAGAAGATATGCCTGAACGATATCAGCAAATCGAAGTCCTGTGAAAATTTGCACGTTTTGTAAGAGGGTGGAGCGAAAAATGGCGCGAAAATGAGGAATAGAAAAAATGACAGTGTTACTGGGATGATGTACCGGAAATAGCAATAGTACAAAATATTCTACAGAGTGTGCCCTTTTAACTCTTAACCCTCTGGTACATTCTAGCAGGCACAGTATTGCCAGTTTTCAAACGCAATTTTTCTATACCTCATTGTCGTATACAATTTTTTCTACATCCACATAATACCTAGATTTGTATAGGTAGAACATAAATTTTAATAAACATATTTTTCTATCGATTGGAAATACCCTAACGCTAAATTTATATTTTCATCTTAAATATTTCTAGTAGTGAAAATATGTAGATTATGCAGAAAAAAAAAGTGTGAGGAATATTGTAGTCAATCAATGTAACCAAAATAGTATACATGGAATCTTATTATTGCCATTTGTTTCTTGAAAATACTATTTAAATTATTGATAATAATGAATCAAAAACCTTTTTTGATAATATCTTATTGATCTTCAAATTCTAAGAGACTTTCTATTTTCAAAATCTGTTTATAAGTTTGATACTAGAAAACAATAGAAATCTTTAGATCAAGCGATGGGCGACTCCAGGGGTGGAACTATGCCTCCCACTTTATAATTCTTACAATTCATGAGCATATTCTTAAAAACAAAAATATTAAAATGGAAATAGACGCCTTGAATTCGTTTTTTGAAGAAAATATTAACAACATTATTTTTGGTACTTCCATTTTCATTTCTGATAAAACAAATTTAAATAATAAACTCGTACTCGTATCATTTAATATTTTAGTGTTTTGTTTTTTATATTGTTCCTAGAACATATTTTATTTAGGACTTGGTACAAACGTACTCTTTGTAGCTATATATGTAATGAATAAAATTCTATTATATTCTACAATTAATGAGTTTTCACATTCAATTTGGGTGTAAAATTAGACAGGTTTACAAAACAAAAAAAGTCCGGTCTATTTCACCAGACCATGGTATTCCTAGTTATTTTGGCATCCTGAATCCAATCCCGGGGTCAGTTTTGCCCCATCACGTCAGAAAAAATCAGATTTCAAGGTCATTTAGAAGTCAAAATGGTGCCTTTTCGGAACCGGTCCCGGGACAACGTGAATACCTTCCAAATATTGGACAGGAGCCATGAATCTCGACTAGGATCAGCGCAGGGACAGCCCAGTGGATAAAATGTTACCATGATGGTTGTATCTCGCGAATTTCGATCTCCCTGCCAAGGTGTTCAATTTTGGCGATCCATTTGAGATAATGCCAGTGGATCCAGCACTGATCCATATGGTCCTAGAACCTTGCCAGAACATTGGAGTTATGCTTCGTCTCCCGCTCAGGTCTGGCCCAAGGTCAAGAACTGGCTCAGGGGGTCACTAATTGATGACATTCTATTCCACTGCCAAGCGTCGATTGCGACGTTGCATTTGTTGTGAGTTAATGACCATCCACCCAGCATTAACCTCTATGACCAAGTATTTTGCCAAAATGTTTGACTCCATGCTACGTGTGCTGCCTAGGTCCGACCCAGTGGGTAAAAAGTGGCCCCGTAATTACTAAGTTACGAATTTCAAGAAGGAAGAATTTGACTATACATTTGCTTTGGTCGAACGGCGGTCCACTCAGCACTGATCTGAGAACCTATAGAACCTTGCCAGAACGTCGAATTGATCAGCTGCTTCTCCCGCCAGAGCTGACTCAAGGTGTAGAATTTTTGACAACGAAAATACGTTTAATGGGCCACTGTCAGGAATCCCGCTCATAGTCGCAAATATTGTATGCAAATATGGCCTGCCTCAGCAGAACAAAGGTGGCAAACTCTGAAGTTGCGGGTTGAGATCCTCGGGCCATTTTCTGCAACCTTAGTTTGCCCCGGACAGTATACTCAGCTTCACCCAATTTTTGGACGATATTCTAGGAGCACTTTGAGAAGTGCTGGCATTAACTGACAATAACTCAATCGCCAAAATTCTACGTGTTGGCAAGGGAAGCAAAATTCACGAGCTCAAATACTTCGAACCACTTGAGCCTAACTCCAATGTTCTGGCAAGGTTCTAGGGCCATTTGGGTCAGTGCTGGATCTACTGGCATTATCTCACAGCAAATGGATCGCCGAAATTGAACACCTTGGCAGGGAGATCGAAATTCGCGAGATACAACGATCATGATAACATTTTATCTATATGGCTGGCCCTGAGCTGGTCCTGGTCGAGATTTGGGGACCGTTTTCAATGTTTGGAAGGTATTCAAGACCTACACAGTTACAACTTAACAGATCGCTTGAGAAATTGTCCCGGAGCCAGTTACAAAAATCACCATTTTGACCTCTAAATGATCTTGAAATCTGGTTTTTCTGACGTGATGGGGCAAAATTGACCCCGGGATTGGATTCAGGACGCCAAATTACCTAGGAATACCATGGTCTGGTTAAATATTCCGGACTTTTTTTCTTTTTTGTAAACTTGTGTTATTTATAGGTTTAGCTAGAAGGTCTAATGACAATGGACGCTTTCGAAAATTCGCCCTGAAGTCGCCCTTGAACATAACAACGTTAAAAATTTAAATATGTAATTTTTATGTTATTTTTTCTCAAACTGATATGTTTTTTTTTTTTTCATTAGATAATACTAAAAATTTTAATTTTGCTAACTATAAATAAAGCATAGGTACTGGTAGAATCAAAAATAAAATAGTAGTCAAACGAAAAATCCCGATTTAAAGATTCTTATCAATTATTTATATCTAATAATAATCAATAGTGATATGTAACATGCTATTTTATATATTTAACAGAACTTTTGTTTCCTGAAGGTGTAAGGGCTATTGTTTAATACATTTTTATGAATAATAGGTATTTATTAATATTTTTTAATAAAACTGACAACGTAACAAATAATTCAGCTTTAAGCAAATTGTTGCTGAAAGAAATAATTTTCAAAAATCAGAAATTAATGAGATGTTTTACATTATTAGTTCAAAAATTGTAAAAATATATTTCTAATCAATAATTCAATGATCTATTGTTATTTACACAATAATAACGATTTTTTGGGTGTTATAATTTTTTTAAATTGATTATGATGATTCATCGATGAATAACGGTCTAAAAGTACCTTTTTGGTATGTTTGATAATACCTAAAGCTGTCACCTATCAGTGAGATTTAAATCATTTTTTGATTTAAATACATTTTTTGATTTAAATACTTTGATTTTAAATCTTTTTTTAAAAAAATGATTTTCGATTTATGATTTAAATCTTTCTGAAAAGTATCTTTGATTTTTAATTTAAAAATTAGATTTAAATCTTTTTAAAACGATTTAAATCTTTTTAAAACGATTTAAATCTTTTTAAAACGATTTAAATCTTTAAAACGATTTAAATCTTTTTATTGATTTAAATCTTTCTGAAATGATTTAAATCTGTAAAATGATGCAATCTTTTTAAAATGATTTAAATTTTCTTAAAGATTTAAATCTTTTTAAAACGATTTACATCACTTGATTCGTCAAAATCGTTATCAACCTGTCTTTTCAATAATAATCTAGCCAGCATGTCAGTAGGGTTGAATCAGAAATCCGAGAGAAAAGAAAAACAAAAAATAGTAAAGTGTAACAAATAATTGCAATGTCTAAAGATTATTCTTAAGTATGAAATTTTACAATATTTTTGACCCGATATTTTTTTTGTAAAGTTGTATTTTTTACACCGCAAGCAGCTGGAAATACTTTTTCATTATTGATATAATCCTGAAACTCTTTACATATGTATTTTAAATTTATGCACACTTTTATTTTAGATTTGACATTAGTTGCATTAAGACGATTATGACTTTTTTACCAGTTTAATAAACATGCTTGGCATAGAAAGAGCGAATTAATTAAATTTTTTATTTCTTTGCCTGATTCATCCACACATTTTTCAAAAAAATTAACCCAAACGCGCCTACTTTGGCTATTTATTTACTCACAATAACTTCACGTTAAGAGAAGAACTCTTTTAATTCAACCCACTCAATTTCATTATTCATAGCCGGGAGAATCTCCTAAGTACAAAAAAATATATTTTTAAAGAGTCTGATGTATGTGCATCTGTGGGTGTTTATGTATGTATGACATTAAGCACGTTAACTCAAGGAAGAGTTGACGGATTTAAGAGATTTTTCAGAAAAAAAATCACTTTTCTTAAAAACTAGGTCTCCATTGTTTTGTGGCATCATAGGCATACCAAAAGAATATTTTAAAGGGTTGAAAAATTCCTATTTACATGACATTTTTAAATAACAATTTTCATAACTATAGATATCAATGCTGCATAAATCCTTAAAAAATTTATCTTGATCGGATATTTATTATTTAAAATTAATATTTCGGTAAGAATTGCATTGGGCTAATAACGATAAAAAATAAATACGAGAAAAGTATTCATTATCTATCTTTGGCATACCGAAAGCATTTTTTAAAGAGTTACCCAAATCTATAAAAAGATTTAAATCTTTTGAAAAGATTTAAATCTTTTGAAAAGATTTAAATCTTTCGAAAATATTTAAATTTTTCCTAAAAATGATTTAAATCTTTCGAAAAGATTTAAATCTTTCCTAAAATGATTTAAATTGTAAAAAAGATTTAAATCTAAAAAAGATTTTTGATTTAAATCTTTTTTTTTTAAAAATCGATCTTTGATTTAAATCATTTGTTCAAATGCAAAAGATTTATGATCTTTGATTTAAATCGTTTTTAAAATGATCTTAAACAGCTCTGATAATACCTAAATGTTTTATTATTATTTACTACTTTTCTTGTCACTAAAAATTTTTAGAAACCATAGTTAATATAATTTTTAATTGATTACTTTTGTATTTCACACGTATAATAATTCTACCTACAATTTCCCTTTATCTAAGATCATTTTAACCTGTGTATATAAAACATATCTTAAACCTTGAAGATTGACTAGATTTTCACCATTTTGAATTATCGAATC